AGTTCCTTTAAGTCTTCCTACCAATATGACCGAGTTGCAAAGATAAGGTCAAACAACTTCTATACAACGAAAGGAGACTGCGACCACACAAAAGGCTACACCATCTTGATCTTCATACCTTTGATTAATTCTTTATAGTTAACCTTGACTTTCGAAGGCAAATTTCTGATAGATCTTAGTTTTTCTCTTAAGGACTCATGTTAAATGCAAATTCAATCAAATATTTTTATTAATGTGTTAATATGATAATTTATTAAATGATTTATCGACTCTCTTCCTTCCTTGTGAGGGTTCAGACGTATTGCCCTTCTGTATGCCTTATATGTATTGTCCTCTCGTAGGAGGCACTGAGAAAATGCAGAGGAGGATGAAACTAAGGTTTACTGCTAAGTAGGATTTAACGTGACCCCAAAACATTATTCTCCTTTCTTCGTAGGTAGCTATACTCGTTAAATAAATTTATTTAGCTTGCATACCTATAGATTTACCGATGGAGGAACATTTGAATATCTCTTTATTGCGGTGTATATTCTATTACAATTGACATAAATATATACTGAATGCAATATCTTTCCTAGTTATCTAGCTATCTATTATATCGATTAACTGGATGGTAGCCAAATCTAACATGAAAAACTTCTAACCGATAGATTCATTTCCTTGTTCCCAGCCCTCGATTTCGTCGTACTCAGGGGCTGGCGGCTCCCCATCAAGAGGCTGAGTCGATATTTTTTCTTCTTCGTCGTCAGCATCAGTCAATTTTCCTTTTGCTCCTTCTTCCGCCTTCGATGGAAAGCCCACTAATGTTGTCAACTCGTTCACTTGACCGGATAAACTGGTATCCCAGGCAGGCATAACCGACTTGGTTGACGGTAAATAAAGCGGATCTGTTGTCACGTCCATCACCATCAGACTGCTCAGCATGCAGGACCGCTTGCGTATTGCCATTTCAGCAGAGCTCTCGGCAAATGTGGACCGTCTCGATGTCATCACTGAGGATCTGTCAATCAGACGTTCATGTGGCTGGCTAGTCACGTCAGAGGCTAGGCGGAACAGTGTTGGCCGAGGTTGCACTTCTATTGGCATAACGGAGATGCTGGGGCTTTTGAGGTCTTGAGTCCGTTGGTCGTCAGTTGGAGTTGGTCGTTCTGTGCTGTTATCGTCTGAATTTTCCCCGAAGCAACCTTCAGCCATACCGATAGTGGTTTCGGAATCCTTGAGCATTAGACCACGTCCTCGGGAACGTTTTCTTCTGACTCCTGCCGTAGACACTGTTCTTTGTTCTCGTCGAGCAGCATGACCCAGCTGGATGGTAGCAAATGCAATACTGAAACGGTGTTAAAGAGCATTTATTTTCATGAGAAGAAAAGTTATGTTTTGAGGAATTGCATGATTTATAATTATTAATATCACTTCCATTTCGTGTGAATAAAGTATTTAGTGGAGCGATTTGAAGGTTCATCACCTCAGAAGGCAGTGACGGATTTCTCTCAGCCAATTGTCGATTAGCTTTACTGGAACATTTTCGTTGACGCCGTCCCCGAGGCAATTGTCTTCGATTCTGATGAACATGCGCTAAACTTTCATTTTTCATATTTCGGACATTGTCATAACAGGGTATCATTTATACAACTATATTTGAGCTAACGACTCAAAAAGTGTAGCCCAGTTATACCTAACAGCTGTATCAATCTACTAAAGTTATGCATTTTTCTGGGATATTGAGAGATTTTGTTAGTATGCCACTCTATAAGTATGTGAATGTGTATAATTGTGTGCGCTCTAGATTGGCATACAACTTGAAATAATCATTGATCCATTAAATTGCATACATTTGTAATAATGATAGCCTGGTCTAAAGACGTCCCCACAATCAAAGGGGATTTTAGGTTTTAATTAGGTTTTGAGACTATCAGTAGATCTTGTATAGGAGTTATATTCATCCTGCTTTGTTACAGGTGATCAAGGACTGATAGTTAAATAATCACACACTATGAGCAGGCCTCACTTTTCACTATGGTCTTGCCTCCCAAAAAGGTCGTTATAGTCATCGCCTATAAAGACAGCAGATGGGGACCCTGCAATTGGGCCGCTTTAGTACAAGCTAAATGAATAAATTTAGAAAATATCTGTAGGTCTTGAATGTACTGTAAATTTGCCACTTAAAAAACATTAAACTTTAGTCAAATTTGAATGAAAAAGCATTCTAAGGAGCAAAGCCAAGTGAAATTCGATGATCTAAAAAGGTTGTATATACACATAGATGTGGAAACTTCATCTAGGCCCCCTTAGATCACCTCAAACGACTTAAGTTGACTAAATATAAGCTTCAATATACTTTGCAGATTATTCATATTATTTCACAGGGTTGTTTTAGTATGTTGCAATACTCGAAAATGAAGGTACGCATATAATTGGCCAATTCTTAGCACCATATAGAATCCCACTTTAGGGTTGGTTCACAACTAGTAACTGAATATTTTTATTCTTTTTACCAACTTGCAATACCCTCATATTTAAAACTAATTCAACAACTTTTCCAAATTGTTTAATTCCCCTCTATAAATATGCCTCGTATTAAGAAACCTAAGACCAATTGTAATCAAACTTTCTAATCCATTTTATAAAAGTTGCCTATCTCTGATAAGAGACTGATAATCTGAGATTTATAGTTGATTTGGTTTGCAGTTTGAGTAGGACCAAATGGCCTTACATCAACATGATAAGTCGCAATTATTGCCATTATAGCCGATTATTTTGAAATGCTTATGTAATCTGCACGAGGTCTAAACTGCATTCCAGCTTGGAATAGAAAGAGCTTATACGATGCTTAAAGGAGTATAATTCAATGGCAAAATCAAGAATTCTCTTAATTTCAACATGGTCAAATTCGTCATCATTCCCATTAAAGAACAGTTAAAAATGGTGCCTACTGACAACAAGCAACCTCCGGGTATCTACGGAAGCGAAATATTGCCAATAACTTCACAATTATTTTGAACTAAACTACGGTCAACAACTGATTTTATTCGGTGATGACGTCGTCATTACATTATAAACTAGATGTCCAGTTTTACGCCTTTATAAAACATGAAGTTGACATTAATCAGGTGAATGAATTGATTTGTTTGGACGATTGAGTTACAATTTTTCTTCGACTGGGTTATTTCTAGCCTATCGCCTCCAACTAAGAAAAGTCACTATGATGACCTCTTGCATGTTGGCTCTGAAACCCGTAAATTGACCTCGTATATAATTAATCAAGTGAGGATAGGCAGCTTACTTTGCTTACTTTTACTTTTAACTTTACTTTTACTTAACAAATGTAATTCAACTAATTGGGCCATTAGTGAGGCAACTCATGGAGCATGTCCTGTGAAAGGAAAATAAAAAGAAAAGGTATTCAAAAGAATACAGAAAGTTGCTCAGGTTTGTATAATCAACATCCAGAATCCTCCGTTCATAGCCTTTGCAACTTGTAATTATAGTTCCAAAATGCTACTAAGACCTCCTTCGTTTACTCACAGACGCTTTGTGAACAAATCGTGATTGATGCTGGTAATTCTGCTTTTCAGCTGCTTTGAATAAATCTTACTGGAGCTTTTGCAAGTAAACTTACCATAAATGATTTGTATTTATATTTTTTCTCCCTAAAAATCCATTTTGATTGATCATTCATGTGAACCAATTTAC